ACAAACTCTCCACGGGATTCCCATGTGACTGAAGTGTAAGAAACACTGGGGCAAAAAGAGTCAGAGCCAGACTGAAGAAAGAGTCGCAGCTGCAACCAGAAGTGTCCTGTGCTAACATTCAGAACAGAGGACGTGGAAAGTGGTGCTGGCCTTCAAGCCAAATTGCTTTTATATACACTAAGAGCTAATGTCCATTCACAGGGTGAAGGATCTTTTAAAATGATCCCCTCTTTCATTCTATGTGTTGCTATTTCCCGGAAGATATAAGAATAAAATGAAGGTTGTCTGCTAGTTTACTGACATACACACATGGGAAGTTTAGATAAGCCTGAATAAATCTTCCTGAATGCATAAAGTGTCCAGTAATGTCTACAATTGGACCACAAAGAAGAAGCCATTCTCTCAAAGTGTAAAAGCAGGTTTTGCCAGGTACTTAACACCACAGCTAGTCAGTCTGATTATAATGGGTTTTTACTATTATAGAAGGCACTCCCTCAAAATTCAGCTGGATTTACCTGCACAGGGGTTGCATTAAAAAAAGACAAAAGGAAAATTATGCCTCACATTTAACCAAACATATCACAATTAAATATCTAAATAATACAAAGCTGCCATAATCCAAAAGAAGTAACTTTATTTTGAATATCTGATTTATATAGCCAAAGACCAATTGCTCAGAATTGATTAGGAATGCTGAGTCTATCCTTAAGCAAACGGAATTTAAATAAAAGCCAGAAAAAAGAAAAAAGTGAATTTCTCAGAGAAGACAAAAGTTTCCATACTGTAGTATCACAAACAGAGCAGCTGTTAGTGAGCTGTCTTACTCAACTATAGACCCCAACAGTTAAAGCCAGAAATAGGCAAGACTGCTTAACTGATGCTCCAACAAAAACCCATTGTGCTTATTTCTTACCAGACTTTCGAGGCACTGACAATGACATTTTGCGAAGACCTGAATATCCCAAATGCCAAATAGGAAAAACCCGGATAGCAATGGAATGCCTACACGACCACATCCCACAGGTCCCCTTCCCGGCCCATGATCGTGCGGTGATTTCCCCCACCCATGACCAAGCACTCCCTGCCTGTTCTCTTGCAGGCACTCCATCCCGACCTCTCCTTGTAAAGCAGACAAGGTGTCTATCAGGCTGATGGAGAGGTCAGTGGGTAAAGCCTGAGCCTGTCACCAAGCTCCTTGCAGGTAGCACCCTAAATTTCCCCCCTTCTCTTTTCCAAACCATCATAACTTGAGTTAGTGACTTCTCTCACCACCAGTTTATGCTAGTTTGTGCCACAAAAGTGTTGGCAAACCCTGCCAGGAGCTGTGCTTCCGATTTGTCCAGCCCCCTTGGGGTTCCTGGCACAGAGCAACTGGCCCCAGTAGTACCAGGGCTCACCAGCTAGGTTCCTGAGTTGGTGGCGATGACAGGTCATTTGGGAACACAACTAGTTGTGCACAATCTTAAATTCACCCTGCCAAACATCCTAACGTAACAGATACCATGTGAGGTCGTGTTCCCATCATCCTGGGGATTTTAAGCACTGGCTCACAAAGTGCGGTCCTGAGATCAAGCACAGAGATAGCAGCATCTGGGAGTGTGTTAGAAATACAGATCCTCACCTCCCACCCCACCTAAGGATGAAACGTTGAAATATGTCTTTCCAATGAACCACTAACATTTGAGAGACACTAATCTAAAGAGTCCCTAAAGAGAATCTTTACCTGGACAGAGTGCTATAGGTCTGAACCGCCTGGGCTCATTAGTAATTTTCCCCCCCACAAATGGAAAGTACTGCTATTCTCATCGGCATAAGCAAGAGCAGCTGGATGTCCCAAAGTTACAAGTACAGCCCCTTTTCATTTATAGTAAATGCCCAGGTATTAACTTTAAACAATGAATAGGAGCTAATAAGGAGTTAATAAGTATGCTACTCTAATCCATTTATGTTCTCACTTCTATACTTAGGACCCAGGACCACAAATGAAGCCTGGTAAAAGTCCTCTGACATCAGTGATACCAGAGCACCAGAGTGTGCACATATAAAGGAAAGGCAGAGAGAGGAATAGAGGGAAATAAGAAAACGAATATCAAGACCAAAAGCCAAAATTGTAAGAGAGTACTCTCACCCTCAGATGAAACTCTGACTCATTTATAGTCAACAAAAATGACTCATTTCGGGTGCTTATGTTCCTTTCTTTCCAATGTCAAGCATTATAATTTTATAATTAAAATAAACGTACAGGGGACAGGCTGTGGAGATAAATAAATTAGAGGGGGAAATTACACTATGATCCTAATACATTACAGACAATGTCTAGACTGAGATGTTTTTGCATTTTTGGCATCCCAACATAAAAATTCAAGAGAAAAGCAATAGGAAAGCCTGAATCCAACGAAATTAGGCTTCACAGCAGAACAGCAATGCAAAGCCACAGTTATGCACCAGAGTTATAAAGCTCTGGAACTGTGGCAACAACTAACTCATTCTGGAAATACCAATGGAAATCCCATTTTTTCTTGGAAGATACAAAGTTTTCTTAAAATTTCATTTCTAGATTTGATTTTCCTTCTCACTTCAGAACCCTAAAGCTTATCAACAGATCTCACTGAAAATGTGGGAGGCTGAAGAAACTTTTAAAGGGTAATGGGTAAAAAACTATGTGTACTTAAGTCAAAAGTACCATCAGAGTATTATAGTATATCTTGGTCAATTTAGATACACTAGCAATACATATATAATAGGACATACATGGACTGGAAAATGTAACCATATTTACGTCATTTAAAATACATTATATTGCACATTTTGTCCAAATGGCTCATGTAAGAAAGAAAAATCTCTCAATAAGACATACTATTACAAGAAAATTTTGAGCTAAAATGTATGTACCCAAACCAGAGAAATAATACATGTGTGAAGAAACTATTTTCTTAAATAATCATTTATAATGATATTTTCTGGACATTAGGTAAGCCCTTATCACCCGACTTTCTTAAATACTGTGACAAGAGAAAATGTTAGAGTTTTCCTATTTTCTGTTGGGGTGATGCAGGAGATGTTACTGGAGACATAGGCATGGATAGTACTCTGTATTTCTCTGAGTTTCTCTGAGTCTTCAAACTCTCTACCAAAAGTCACTGCATCTCCTAGTTGTTAAATCTGAGACCTTTCCCTAGGACACTGCAGTGTTATGAGAGCAGAGAATGAGATCTCCACATCCCATACCCTCAGAGCCCAGTGCTGGTGTTGGTAAGTTCATCACTCCTCAAAGCCATTTCTGGACCATTCTTCCCCAGCCCTCTTAAAAAATGCCTTCTTGGGGCGCCTGGGTGGCTCAGTGGATTAAGCCTCTGCCTTCGGCTCAGGTCGTGGTCCTGGGGTCCTGGGATCGAGCCCCACATCGGGCTCTCTGCTCAGCAGGGAGCCTGCTTCCCCTTCTCTCTCTGCCTGCCTCTCTGCCTACTTGTGATCTCTCTCTCTGTCAAATAAATAAATAAAATCTTTAAAAAAAAAAAAAAATGCCTTCTTACCTAACCTCAAATCAACAATACTGCCTTCCACTATCAATTGCCTACTGCATTAGCCATTCCTCCCTCCTTCATTCATTAAGACTTTATGCCCCTACCAGTCACCTGACCACCTCAAAACTTGCCATCCAACAGCCTCTCTATTCTCTGGCCTTGTTATCAATAAGGAGGTTCTCTTCCACCACCATCACTTTTTAAATTTAAGTCCTCTGTGCTAGACTAAGCTCCATGAAGATGAGAACCAGAACTATCTAGCTCATGGCCAGATCTCATGCACACAGCACAGTATATACTCTTAGTTAAAGAAGGTGTTTTTTTCATCTCCACTACATGCAAAAATTGGGGGCTACTAAGGTCTGTGTAGCTTATAAGAGAACCAACAAGGACAATGAAGTACCCGTGAATCATGTAAAAAGAACAGTCAAAGGGTGTTTTACCCAGAGAAAGTACCTGTTGGTTGATAAGTAATTAAAGTGATAGCTATTTTAAAACATAAGAACATCAATCGTATAGAAAAGGTGAGGCTCTTAAAAAAAAAAAAATGTAAGGCTGATAATTCTGAAACTTGAGATGAGGAATTGTGGCTTTTTTTTTAAGATTTTTATTTATTTACTTGAGAAAGAAAGAAAGGAAGTGAGTGAGCATGAGCTGGGGGAGGGGCAGAGAGAGAGAGAGAAGCAGGCTTCCCACCACGCAGGGAGCCAATGCGGGGCTCAACCCCAGAACCCTGGGATCACAACATGAGCCTAAGGCAGATGCTTAATGGACTGAACCACCCAGGCGCCCCTAATGTTACTGGGCCTTCATTTGCTCATCTATACATTAAAGGAGTTGGACCTTTTGGGTTGCAAACATTGTATTTCATTCATGCCTAATAGCGTGCCACATGTAGAAAGGAGCCTAACAAGGTCATTATAAGAAGGCAACCTGAAGTCCTAAAGCTGTCAATGTATGAAATTTCCTTACAAAAAATATACTCTAAGAATACGAAGAGACAGAGCAGAACTTAAGGCTGGACTATGTGGAAGATCAGCAAACTATAACCCCTGGAGCAGCCTGTTTCTGTTAATAAACTTTTATTGGAACGTAACCACACCCATCCGTTCAAGGACTGTCTATGGCTGTATTTTCCTGGTACAACAGCACAGATGTCAAATTAACCAAATGGCCCACGAAACCTAAAATATTTCCTACCTGGTGCCTTGAGAAAAAGTCTGTTGGCTCTGCACTATATGATCTATGAAGTTCATTTTAATTATTCATGAGAGATGGGAAGACCTGCATTAAAAGGCTCTTACACAGAAGGTAGGGGTAAAATGGGGAAAAAAGAATAAGTAGAGATAATAAGTCAAAATATGAACTCAGTTCACCTCCCAGTGATTATACTAGCTACTCTCCCTAAACTAGTAAAGAAACCTTCTTTTCCAAGAATACACAAGATAAAACGAACATTGAAGTTTTAACACGCACCTGCCCTCCTTCACTTTCTGTGCATTTCCTCGACATATGTAGTTTTCAATGTAACCAACACTGCAGTTGATTTTTGACCAATCTAGGTCACAAACATCCAGGAAGTGAGGGCGCAGTCTGCCTATTGAATACTTGGCAATGTCAGTCAGGGACTGACTAGCAGCTGCACCAAATAAAAATGTTCCAATGGCTTTGTAAATAGTGGCTATGTAGTTATTCCTGATAAAGGAATTCGAGTGCAAGAGGTTATAGTAAACAGACAGGACTTCTCCAATAATCATCTGAAAAAGAAACAGAAAAATAGTATGTTAAAACACCAACCAGGCACTTTAAACAAAATAAAAAAATAGAAAAAAAATGTTATATCACAATAAAATATTTATAAACACTTCCCTTTTTTCATTTGCAAATGCAGAGTCAGGATATCTAATTCTAAACCATGAAAAAAGGAGTCAGATCTGCTTACAAAGCAATGGCCAAAATAATTTCAAATCTACCTGAAACAATAAGACCTTATTTCTTTTCTGGTACTCAAATAAAATGAGTTTTAATAAGCAACGGTGTATCATGAATGAGAAAAACCATGGTTTGTTCAAATAACACAAATTTTCCTAATTAGAGTATCCCCTGTGTAAGTACTTTGATCTGGCAGTACTTCTTAGCCAAAATTTCTCTGAATCAAAAACATCCATCATATTTTAAGAATATAGTTTCAGGGAGTAAACTAACTAATATAAAAGCAGGGATCTAACACTGAGGCCAAAGTGTATAGAGGACAGAGATCAGCAGACAGAGCCTCCCAGCCCTGCCTTTCCAGAACCCGAGGCCCGGTTAACAAGACTCAACAGACTTTACAAGACTTAACGTCTCATTAACAGACCAAACACACATTTGATGCTCTCCTTCTCCAAGAAAACATTTCAAGTGACTCTTTCCTCTTTATTTTTCACTGACTTTATTTCTCACTAAAAGTGAAGACAAGGCCTTCCCAGACTCTAGTAGAGTATGTGTCAGCCAGCATATGCTGCTATAATGAGTTTAAAGGCATGAAAAGCCTTCCCAGTACTTGACAATTCAGACCTTAAGAAATCCAAAAAATACTGAGGAGAAAATTTGTACAAAATTACATTTGCTGATAAAATAATCCATATTCTAGCTACCTGTGACCAAAATAAATAGTAGAACAAGAAGAATCAGCTTGCTTATTTATGTTGGGGAAGTAAGGAGATAGAAGTCACAAAATTTTTCTTAAGTACTAGTTTTGCTGCTTCACCTTAAATTTACATGAACAATCGTATAAAACATTCAAACATTTCCATTTAGTGTGGATTAATTATCTTCATGGTGAACCTTATTGTAGGTAAAATAAATGATTGTCTCCTAAAAGAGCTTTTAAGAACCTAACACTAGGGGTGCCTGGGTGGCTCAGTGGGTTAAAGCCTCCGCTTTCGGCTCAGGTCATGATCCCAGGTTCCTGGGATCGAGCCCCGCATCGGGCTCTCTGCTCTGCGGGGAGCCTGCTTCCCCCTCTCTCTCTGCCTACTTGTGATCTGTCTGTCAAATAAATGGAATCTTTAAAAAAAAAAAAAAAAATTCTCTTAAAAAAAAAAAAAAAAAAAAAGAACCTAACACTAAAGGAGCGCCTGGGTGGTCTGGGTGGCTCAGGGGCTAAGCATCTGTCATGATCCCAGGTCCTGAAATCGAGCCCCGCATCAGACTCCCCACTCAGAGAGAAGCCTGCTTCTTCCTCTCCCTCCTGCTCCCCCCTTGTGATCTCTGTCAGATAAAGAAATAAAATCTTTAAAGGAAAAAGAAAAACAAAACCTAACGCCAAAAATTCTTTCTTTATTTAGCTCCATGGCTCTGTAATTAGAATGTTAAAACTCTGACAACTAGACTATGAATCCCACAAAAGCAAGAATCAAGTTTTAGTCATCGAATAAAAACCTAGTACCGCCGTAGTAGCCTCAACAGAGTAGGTGGTTAGAAATTTTAATTGAGGGGCGCCTGTGTGGCTCAGGTCATGATCTCAGGGTCCTGGGATCGAGCCCCGCACCTAGCCCCGCACTGGGCTCTCTGCTCGGCAGGGAGCCTGCTTCCTCCTCTCTCTCTGCCTGCCTCTCTGCCTACTTGTGATCTCGGTCTGTCGAATAAATAAATAAAATCTTTAAAAAAAAAAAAAAAAGAAATTTTAATTGAAGGGGTGCCTCGTGGGTAAAAAGTAAACACCCCTAAACATTAAGCTCCAGAGAAATATATTCCCCCATTACAGTAATTAATGTGAATGAGTTAATCAGATACTTTCCTGAGAACAGGTCTCTCAGAAGAGAAAAGCCACGTGCACTTCTAGGGATACCATACTCTGCAACTGCACTTAGGTTCTCCCAACCGGCTCTAGCGGCCCATGTATTGAAATATATACGGTCTCCTCTGACTGTTAAGGTGTCCCAGCAACTGCTTTTAGAGATGTGCACCAAGAGAGGACTTCTCTCATGTTTCATTATGGAGTTGCTCTTTGATCATTTACAATATATATATACCAATTATACCAATCAACCACAATTTGAGCAGCTGAAACTCCCACACTTCAGCTGTCAGCTGTTCTTAAGAGTGTAAGCACTCAATTATTTTCCAATTCTTTAGGGCCACCCAAACCCTGGTTCTTGACACTGGGGACAGAAAGTCAGCTCACTAGGAGAATTCCGAGCCATGGGCACAGATGACAAACTGATTCACAAAGGTAGTGTAAGCTGAAACTTAAAATCCTTGATGCTGGGAAAGGGCAGGGGAACTCTAAAGCTGACCAGTGCTGGTCAACGTGTATCATTTTTATCATGCCCTCCATCCTCACTGAGACAGATAGACAAGAGACAAGTACTAAACTGATTTTCTAAATGAAATGTAGGGATGTGTCTGAGCATTTCACTACTCATGACAGCAATATTTTTGTTTCATTTTAATACTTTGTCCCGCCCTTTGAGCCATTTATGCCCATGCTTAGTCTTTGGTGAAGTCCACACTTAAGCTGACTGTGGCCTTATCTTACAGCTGGGATCACTTCTTATGCATTATTTATACTCCAAAGATAGGATAAATTATTAAAGAACTAAAGATAGTGTCTGGGGGATTAAAACAAAATGCTTTTGAAGATCAAAGCTAATAATTACCCAAATATATGTAATTCAAATAGTTTAAATACTAAATTCAAATAGTTTAAATAATTCAAATAGTTTAAAACCTATGCACCACAATATTTTCTCACCATCTCCTTTATAGCTCCATCAACCCAGATACATCTCTATACTGTCCCTGTATTATGTGCCTCCCCTTCAGGACCTACCTTCCCAAAAGTGTAGTCTAAAATCACTGGTGTACTTCTACTTCTTACTAAATATCTTGAACTACTTTCATTCCCTTTATTCTACTGAATCTTTTTCAAAAGTCAAAATGGATTAAATAGGTATTAAACAGGTATTTATCAACTCTCATTTACCTTAATCTCTCACGGTATTTGACACCACTGATTATTTCTCCTTATTGAAATTCTCCCATGGCTTCTGAGGAGCTCTACTAACTCTGGTTCTCCACCAGACTCCCTCAATCACTCATATATCTGTAGATCATCTGTAAGCCAGGTCAAAGACCTGGTAGGAAGTCTGAATCACAGTCCTCATTTTTTTTTAAAGAACTGATTCACATTTAGTTAATAAAATTAAACATTTTTTTTTTTTACATGTCTAACCAAGTGCTGCCTACAATCAGTGGAGTTAATAAACAAAGTAAAAATTTGTTTAAGTTAGTACATAAAACTACCAGCCTGTGCAGTGTTGGCTGATATGGCTGATATAAAAATAGTACTTTCATAGCACCTTTAAAAAGTCTGTTCTTTTTTAAGAAACCTACGCTCAATTTGTAATTGCTTTATTAAACACAGAGATAACTTTCTCAGAGCTGATGATTAAATCGTCAAAACTTAGGAATTAATGAAATATAAATAATGAGTTCTTGCTCACTGAGGGTTCTGTCAGGCCCTGCACTGATGCAGGCCACACCTACACTCCAGGAGCCTGGCCATCAGAGCGCCGTCCTGCTGCAGGCCCCTGGTCTGTACTGGATTTCTGTAGTTTTGCTTGTGCAACATCCTTTTGACTGAGACACAAAGTCAAACCGAACTGAAAGACAAGTCCATCTGCAGCAGGGTTTGAGTACTCCAAGGGAGCATCTTTTCTGAACCGAGCTACTACAGCTGACCCTTCAACAGCATGTGTTTCAACTGAGTGGGTCCACTTTTATTATACAGTACTGTAAATGTATTCTCTCTTTACGATTTTACTAACATTTTCTTTTCTGTAGCTGGCTTTATTGTGTAATACATGTAACATAAAAAATATGTGTTAATTGATTCTTTATGTTCTCAGTAAGGCTTCCAGGCAACCAGGCTCTTCGTAGTTAAGTTTTGGGGGAGTCAAAATTTTTAACACCAATTTCTGACTGCACCATTTATCAGTGTCCCTTAACCCCATCTTGTTCGAGGGGCAACTCTATTTGCAACTAAGTATCCTACTAAAAACTTTAAATTCAAATAGTATCTCAGAAACACACATTTTCTTAAAAGATTTTATTTATTTAGAAACACATATATTTTTAAAAAATCTACTCTTACTGCCTTCCTAAAGGAACACTGATAGGCTTGGCTTTCGTTCTTTTCGTAGTAAAAATTCAGTGTAAAGATCTGTCTAGATTAAAGGGATCTGCTGATTTCTTAAAACCTCACCATACTAAAGGAGGGTCAGCCAATATCCCTATGTAAATACTCTCATGTCATTCCCGCACCTAAGACATGCCGGTTCCACCATGCCCAGCTCCATGGCAGGCAGCGAGGGTACTAAGAAGAATGAAGCACCATCTCTGCCTTCCAGGAGCTCACCGTCCCATAAAACAAACATGTTTATGAGACAAGTTTTCTTTTATTAATTACGTACCACAAATAATGAGTTGATTCATTCTCAACGCTAATAAGGAGCTGTGATAATTCTTGAATAAAACACTGAATTTCTAAATTAAGAGTTTTTTTTCAATAAACACCAAAACAGACAAGGCATACATGTTATCTCATTGGCCTATCTCCTGGTTGGGCCATATTTTCTACTTTAAACCAACATAAATCTTCTTTCTAAAGTTACCAGTCATGGAGCATAAAGTTATTTAATCTAAGTCATAGACTCTCTCAATTGAGAAATTATTAAATAATCTAGTGCAATCCCTTGATGTCTTCTTCTTG